TAAGCGGTAGGGTTAGGTTAAGGGTTAGCGTTAGGTTTAGCGTTAGGTTAAGGGTTAGGGTTAGGTTTGGGGGGGTTAGGTTTAGATTTACGCGTTATTTTTAAATTTACCGCTCACAGCGTGCTGTTTTCGTCGCGCTGTGATGACATCACGTACGCGCTTTCGTCGAGCGCGCTTTAGTCTACCGCGGTTTTATGGTGGAACCGTTAAAATTGGCCCCGAAGGATGAAGCGGGGGGCATCATCCCCAATTTCACCCTCTGCAAATGATTTTGATCACCATACTACAAAAAAGATGTTGAGACTTTGGAAAAAGTTCAGAGAAGAGCAGCTAAGATGATCAAAGGCCTGGAGACTAAAACATGAAGGATTTGGTTTTGGCTAGTCTAAAGGAAAAGAAGAATTAAGGACGACATGATAGCAATATTCCAGTATTTGAGGGGCTGCCACAAAGAGGAGGGGGTCAAATTATGCTCCAAAGAACCAGAAGACAGGACTTTACTCTGTCCCTCTACTCTCCCCAGGCTGCATCATGCCACGCCCCTTTCTTGGACCAGGACAAAACCACATATTCAAAAATGGTACTGTATGTTTTCTTTATATTTTTATAATGTTGGTAAACTATTCATAAAAAAAATACATCATTGTGACTCATAATCCATGCACGCCGGGCAGCTGCTTTTCCGGTTTCTGGTGCTCCTGCGCGTGCAAAGACCAGCTGAAGCCGGAAGAGCAACAGGCAATGGCTGGTGTGCTCAGAGAGATGGCTCTGCATCCCACTTCCGGCACACGTGCCATAGGTTCTCCATCCCTGATACAGGACATGAAGACCTGCCCTGTGAAGATAGGCTGAAGAAATTTGAGAGGTTCAGTTTGGAGAGAAAAAGACTGAAGAAGAGATGATCGTCCCATTCAAATCCATGAAAGGAAACTATAGAGAAGATGGCCGAGAATTATTTCCAATAGTCATAGAAGTTAGGACTGGAAATAATAGACCGAAGTGGCATCTACTTAAATTTCATTTCAATATAGGGAAAAGGTTCCTGATGATTAACAACACTGCAATGGTCTTCCTATTGTGGTTGTCCTGCACTGGTGGTTCTTAAGGAGGGGCTAAACAGCAACATCTGGTTTTTTATTTCGTTTTCTGCACAATCCAGGGCTACAGGCGGCGGCAGCAGGAGCGGCGCCCGGCCGAGTGATCCGATCCGGCAGGGATCTTCCTCCCCTTCCGTGCCTCCTGAGCAGGGACGGGACACCGACCTCTGAGAGGCGGCTCACAGGTCTCCTCCAGGCTTCGTCTCTACGGGCCGCCCGCTGGCCTTCGGTCCCTCCCCAGGGATCAGCGCACCCACCGTCCCTGGCCTAATAATGTTCCCCTTTATCCGTAGCCATTTCGTGTATTCAGAATCATGTTTATACGTATATGTGTTGCCTAATAAAGGGCTCTCCAACTTTGGCAACTTTAAGACTTGTGGACTTCAACTCCCAGAATTCCTCAGCCAGCTTGAGGAATTCTGAGAGTTGAAGTCCACAAGTCTTAAAGTTGCCAAGGTTGGAGACCCCTGCCCTAGCTAGCAGGGGCAGGTAGAGACAGAAGCACCAGGGCTAAATCCAGACTCCTTACGCAGTGGTCTCCAACCTTGGCAACTTTAAGACCTGTGGACTTCAACTCCCAGAGTTCCTCAGCCAGTAGGTTGGAGACCCCTGCCCTAGCTATCAGGGGCAGGTAGAGACAGAAGCACCAGGGCTAAATCCAGACTCCTTAGCGCAGGGGTCTCCAACCTTGGCAACTTTAAGACCTGTGGACTTCAACTCCCAGAGTTCCTCAGCCAGTAGGTTGGAGACCCCTGCCCTAGCTATCAGGGGCAGGTAGAGACAGAAGCACCAGGGCTAAATCCAGACTCCTTAGCGCAGGGGTCTCCAACCTTGGCAACTTTAAGACCCGTGGACTTCAACTCCCAGAGTTCCTCAGCCAGTAGGTTGGAGACCCCTGCCCTAGCTATCAGGGGCAGGTAGAGACAGAAGCACCAGGGCTAAATCC